ACCTGACACGGTGGCCCTTCTGTTTGAACGAGTGTGTGCAGTTAAAAATAAAAGTGTTGGGTTTTGTTCAAGACTGATCTATATCTCTGATGCCAAGAAGCAAGGATTCCCACATGCACAGAAGGAAGCGAAAGCAGTCACTTAATGTCTCTGTAGACTTTAAGTTTCTCCACTTTGTCGCACCGAGCTTAATGCAAAGATTGTGCAGGTATATGACCCCGGTCTGGCTACATGAAGAGCTCGTTCCTTTTTCTCCGCCCTTTGTGCCCTGGCTTTAAACATCGGATAATGGAACATCCGCTGCACCGCTAAATATCAGACTAAGGAATGTCAATTGCCATCATTAAAAATTATTAAAATGCAATGTAGCCAAGCACGAGTGTTCTCAATCAATGAATTTAACCGCTGCATTTGAACACACAAATAAGCAGTATAGTCTTTGCAGCGAAGCCGACCTGCGGAAACTGCGTTTGGCCGTTCAGAGAACGTGGGAGCGACTTCGATCACTTCTTGAGAAGATACAACAAAAAAGGGGGAAATCGCATCAAGCCAATTGAAAGTTCATATGATCGGCAGCAATAATAAAAAAAAAATTGAACGAAATAATAAATGGCCTTTTTGAATAAAGTGGGTTCAAAATATCAATTAACTTCATTTTCGACGACATTTCAAATTTTATATAAAAAATTCAGTGAAAATAAAATAAACTAAACTTATGCCCGTCAATATTTCATTTATAGGGCTACACCCGCATAGTATTTGCTAAGCGACAAATATAATAACTCATGAGTTACAAGGCTCTGAAATTGTCACCGCATTGTCACGTGGGAGCGATTTCGATCACTTCTAGAGAAGATACAACAAAAAAAGGGGAAAATCGCATCAAGCCAATTGAAAGTTTATATGATCGTCAGCAATAATGAAAAAAGTGAACGAAATTAAAAATGGCCTTTTTTGATAAAGTGAGTTCAAAGTTTCGGTTAATTTCATTTTCGACGATATTTCAAATTTAAATAAAAAATTCAGTGAAACTAAAATAAACAAAACTTATGCCCGTCGATAGCCCATGTATAGGGCTACACCCGCATAGTGTTTAATAAGTGACAAATATAATAACTCATGAGTTACAAGGCTCTGAAGATGTCACCGGATTGTCAAAGAGACGATGTTTGGCATTTTGTACCTCAATAAAGAAAACTACAAAAGTATTGTTTAACCCGAGACTGGGGTATTTCGGAAAAGGGACGAGAAGAAAAGAGGCCACAAGGAGGCGACGTCTCAAATTGAGACGTCGCCTCCTTGTGGCCTCTTTTCTTCTCGTCCCTTTTCCGAAATACCCCAGTCTCGGGTTAAACAAAACTATGGTTAACTTCCACCAGCTCGCCTGCACCCTTACAATTTTTTCACTACAAAAGTATTTTCCTTTGAACTAAGAAATAGTCCAAATAACATACAAGAGCACAAAAAATTAATGTGAGTTTTGTATACTTCCCGTATTCATACCAGCGTACAGAACTGGGTAGAAAAATCACGGAGTAAAAAACAGATTTTCACCTTGCTCCACTCAATAATGTTTTGTGAAGCGAAATATATTTTAAAAATTTTTTTGGAAAGTGGTTTTGTTCTTTTCAGAAATGGAGCAATTACGTATATTTTTTCAAAAATAATCGAAAGACCCACCCCGACAAGCGGGTTCGATTTCAAATGAAACTACCCAATAATATATAAGAATCATAACCAATATCTAAATACTATTGGAGCTGGTAAGAAAACCCTATCTCCGGCGCGCGACACGTTTTCGGACGCAGCCTGTAATCTGACTTTAATAGCCCCCTCTTTTACATCTCAAATGGTGTCGGATATTTGTGTTATTAATCGTTACTTTTGGTAAATTCCGCGCTAAAACAATAATGAAAATATCCGCGCCTAATGTTTTGGAGAAAAATAATTATCCTGGCATGACAGAACGGAAGACTAAAAAAAAAAGCATCATGCCTGAAAAAAAAAATTCTCGTTTAGCAGGTAACAAAGGTCAAGAATTTGTTATAACCAATATTAAAATAAAACAAAAATAATATTTGATTGCACATCTCTTTGAATGTAATCTAAAAACTTATCTTCTGCATCTGTGCCACGACAACCAACAATCAAAGACGTGCATGCGCCCTTTTGTTTATAAAACTACAAGCTAAAACTTAACAAACAAGTATACAGGCGAATTCCGACAGTTTCCAGCGGGATATCGTTTTACCATTGGATTCAGAATTGACCTTTTTCAGAGTTTGGCAATGATCGTGGCGCGCCCTCGAGGGAATCGCTCGAAACAGTATTGGAGGCTCCGGTACCGTCGCTCCGTGGTTTGCGCCAGCGCCAGGCGTCGTCGCGTCGCGTGCATCTTGTCTTTGAAATGGCTGAGGACGACCCTGGATGTCTAACGAAAGCTCCTGTCTACGATGCGGACAACCTTGTTCGTTTTTATACCTTCAAAGATGGATAGACTGCCGAGGCCGCATTGGTTCCTAACTTCCAACCATCGACTCGGAGTTACTTAATAGCCACTTCGGTGTTGCGTTGTGCAGGCAACTAGAAGGGAGTCGGCTTTCAAAGCAGAGTGTTATGTAAGTAGAGTGATGGTGACCGTAATCCCGACTTAACTATCCACCTTGTGCGGAACTTGGGAGTTCCGTTTATGAGACGCGGCCACCACAAACAGCTGATTTCGCTCTCATATAGCGCCTCAGTTATTCAAGCTTATTGCGTTCCGTCACTTCGCAGTCCTGTGTACCGCGCGAGCGCACGGGACATCCCCGTACCCGGGATCGTATAATCAAAAGCGGGCGGGGTGAAATTCAGGTGGTCTTGATGTCGCAAAGGCTCGCCTGCACCATCAAAAGGTAAGGAACTGTATGTTAGTTAAAATGTCTCTCTGAATGCAGCACGTTTACCAACCTCCGACGAAGTGGGCCCTGCAAACAGGAGAGGTTTACGGTTGTTTGCCAAGGCGTTCCGTCAGGGTTTTGTCTCCGTAGGGCCTGAATCCATTTCGTACGCTTTTAATGTTTTGCCAGTGACAGATATTTTTTATCTCTTAAAACGTGGCAAGACGCGAATGTGTGTAGGGCACGCCTGAAAACGGGAAAGCTTTATCCAGTTATTGTTTACTTGAGAACCGGGTACGTCATGATTATATTGTACAATCTCTCGTGAACACTTACTGTCTTTTATTTCAAAGCTGAATGTCCCGCCGTCCCGTCGAGGACCTGGCCAGGTCACACGGAGGATTCGCGTTATAGGCTTCTGAGAAGGGGGGGGGGGGGGCGGTTCGAAAGAGGGCCAAAAAGGGCGGCGTGTTTGACATCACGTGCGTTCGAGCACCACGCGCAAACGGCTGCTGGAACTCCCTAAAATTTGCATTTGAACCATCTTTTTGCTGCAATTTGTACAACCCACAGCTGCTTAGTAGTCAGGCATGGGGACTGTGATGCCAAGCATGCAGCAAGAATAGCGGAGGGAGTCGAGCCGAACCAGCACTGTCTGAACAACTGAGCGGACGAGAGAGCCTCCAAAAATGACGCATTTTCCTTTCCTCCGCTTTCTCAGAGTTGGTGCTTGCGCCCAGCGATCTGTGAAAAAGGACAATTAGCGACCATGCCTAGGACAAACGCACTGGGAATCGAAACTCTGCCTTCGGGCGTACCGGCGTAGAGCCCGTTTTCCTCCTTCCCAAAACAACAAAACGCCGCTCGTATATTGGTGCCTCGCACTCTACAGTCCACGGGAGTGGGCGAGGAGGGCAGAGCCCTGCTCTGCCTTCCTCGCACGCCAAGCCTCTGCAAATCGAACCGGAGCCGAAGAGCGCAGATAAACCTACCTGCGCCTTTTCTTACTATGCCATCATTCGAAAAGAACCAATCGTACGAGATAACAGCCCCATTGCGAAGCGAACGTACACTCAACTTGCCCGCAAATGTCGATATCACTCCGCGAACCCTCATCCAACCCATCGCTCCTCAGGGACTCGATGCCTCGCCAAACTCATAAACTTACCAACCTCATTAACTCACGACGCTCACCGAGCTCGTGAACTCACCGAGCTCGTGAAATCACTGAACTCAAGAATTCACCCAACTCACAGCGTCACCGAACTGACGAAGTCACGCCCCTCACTCAACCTCAAACTCACGAGTTCTTGAGGCTTACGAACTCACTCACCCTCACCTCACGCCTGATCGGTGATGTGATTGAGTGCTCTCATCAGTGAGTTTTGTCGAGGTATGATATTGGGGCATCTGCGTTCGTGCTTCGTTGCTGTTTTATCTCTGCCATCCTTCGTGTTTTTAATTTTCAGAATGATAAATTAACTGCCGTTGAGGCGCTCATTTTTAATTTGAGGCGTCGACGTTGTCTGGAGGCGAAAATAGAACAATACTTCAATTGACGTAGGAAAACCAAAATTCAATTACTCAATCACTACTTGAATGTCCTGCTACAATCTCTTGTTACACCAAGGTTTGGAGATCAACCCGATAAAACAGCCGTTGTTCAACAGGCTAAAAAGAAGAAGAAGGGAAGCAAGCCGTAACACAAAGAGAGCATGTCTGCAGTGCCGGCCGTTTTTTTTTCTTCCCCAGTCGCATTGCTTTGAACCATACCAATACCAGACAAGCAGACCGGCACTTTGTACTTGCTTTGAACAAATTCACAAGATTCCTTTGCAAAAATAGAAGCCAGAGATACAAAAGAAAGTGATCTATTACATACCTTTTGTGTGGTGCTTCCCGTTAGCAGACAGCGCTTTATCCATCTTATTCTTTCTGTGAACTAGCAGCTCAAAACCAAAGCGTTGCTTAAACCCGGAGTGTTCCAAGTTGGTTGAAACTTGTTATTGTGGTTTTACCGTTATATTGATATGAAAGAGATACGCTGAATCTGAGGTTTTTCTCTTTGTGTAATTTACGATTTTTTTTTCAGTTAATAAACGCTATTGTAATTATACTCACGCCAACAGAAGGTTGTTTGGTCCCAACCACGGTGCAACGAAATGATACAGGAACGGCTTGTTTTGGTTGACGGTGCTCGTCAGTAATGCCTGCAGAATAGGTTACATTAACGTTGAGAAAAGATTAAACTACACAGCTAAACACCATATAATAAGACGGAAAAAAATATATCTACCTCTACTGCATCAGGGGTGTGCACAAAGACGACGGGAGTCATTCCAAGATAAAATTTGAAAATTTGGTTTGGGTACTGCTTCCACAAGGTGCAAAATGTGCTGAATATCCCTAGCAAAGAAAACGTAAACAGACGTAAAGGTTCATTTAATAAGATTTAATTCAGTGACGTTGTGTTGTTCAATGGTTGTGCAGAATTCCGTGTTCACGTGGGCGTGCAATATGGTTTTCCTTCTCGCTTGACAAGTATGGTATAAAATGTGTTATTACAAATTAACAGCGTGTTCAGGAATGCGAATGAACTCAAGATGCCAATGGAAATGCACCTTATGCATGCTCAAAAATAATCCATCAGTGACAGTGATACAGTAGTTTAATGATATGAAGCGGTTGGCGGAAGCGATCAATAACAAAGTTTTGGGATGCGTGTATCGATAAAATAAAGAGGAAACTCTTGTTGTATGAATATGTGAAATTGAGCTAAACGAAGGCTACTTGGGGTATGCGGTGGAAAACACAACAAGAGCGTTGCCTCACTCTCTTCCTCTCGTGTGATCTCTAGTTGGAGCCCCCTCCATGACTTTGAGCTTATATCTGTAGCATCGTGTTGTACGTGTTTTTGTAAACAAGAAAGGAACAGGTAAGAATCGATGAAGTCCGTTATGGTGAAATGGGAGGCCAAATTTGTGTAAAGGCCAGGATTACACAGGACATCCATAAACATAACACTATACTGTACGTCACTTTGTGTGGCGAGCCTATTTTTTAGCTTTTATTATTTTTCCGTTTTTTGGCTGAGCTTGATCAACTATTCCAAGTCATCATTGCACTGTGAATCAGGCAATGCTCGTCTTTGAATCCTCATTTCATTATAGATACCATAGTAACAATTTTCCTCTGTGTGTGTTTAGACAACGGGGAGTTAGTCATACCCAACTGGCGTTTCATGTCTTCTGTGTAGATGAGAAATATAATCAGTGCAGTGTGACTGATAGCCTGGAATCTTTAACGTGAATCACGCAGTAGTCATGCATGATCTCTCGCCTGTACGATAATCATCCGTATTGGAACGGGCAGGGCTGAGGACTGAGCCCAAGATACTTGAGTTCTGCAGTGCGAGCTTTCGATACGTGCTCCGAGCTATACTAAATGTTTCCGTTTTTAAAACACATAAACTGCGAACTTTTTTTTTTTTTTTTTTTGAAGTACGATTTTCAAGATACCGTACTCTTACTCAACAACGAAAAAGAGAACACACGCAACAAAAGCGCACACACGTAAAAAAAGTACTTGATGTTAATGCAAATAATGCAAAGGTGCAGGCATGCTGGACATAAAAACGATAATCATCTCCGGAGAAGGGTAAAAAAGCACAAATTTCCCAACAGAGCTAGGTGACTGGTGCGCGCTGAAAGGAATCCGCCTGGTCCTGGTATCAAACCAGGCACTAGCTACAACTTATATACTCACATGCTGTACGGTACTTGTATGCTCTGTGCTTTCGGGCTCTGTCCCTGAGGTTGTCGAAAAGGAACCAGAAGGGCACGGTGTCCCACGGTCCTGGTAAGGGCCTTAGTGCCTTCCACACTCGAAACCACCGAACGAACGGAACGGCTAATAAGACACTCAGAGACAGTCCTAAAATCCATGACACGTTTCCTGCGAACAGCGAGAAGTACGAGGACGTCGACAGCAAGTGTACAGCCATTGTCCGAGAGAACGGAACAACCCGACCTCACAACCTAAATGATTGCGCCTTCCTGGCGAGACTTGAACTGCTTTCAGCATTTATATTCTCCCAAAAACAGCGGGGACAGCAAGAAGTAAGCGTACCGACAACAAGGTAAATTTTCCCGATATCTCGATGTTGGCATTATGCGTGTGCTAGAGGTTTTCGGTGGCACGTGTTGTTGTTATATTGGAAATTGTAGGAAGCTTTCCCCCCATATTTCTGTTTCGTGACGGACAACAAGGAAATCACCCCCGTAATATTTGTGCCAAAACTTTAAGAGTTGAGGGTGGTCTGCGCGTGCCAATAATAACCCGGAAACATTCCTGAACTAGGTGTATTATCCACCATCGAGTGTCCATCGACGTCACGTGTGTTTTATGAGTGTGCCTCACACTCATTAAAATGTTCCGGCTACGTCATTCAAGATCAACCCAAGTGGCACGGTTTTCGATGACACTCCACTAAGCTCAAACCAGGATAATGTGCCGCAATAATGAAGCATCCGCCTCCTGATGACGTCAACCATCTCGAGATATATCTAGTAATTGGTCCTTTTTATAGGGATTGTTTTACCGTACGTACCGAGATAACGAAGCTCCTATAGCCAACTGCTTGCCAAAAACTATAACAAAACCCACCACCACCAAGTACAAAAAAAAGTGTTGTTGGGGACAAAAGCAAACCGCCCTCAATCATCTCCCTACTACCTTTTAAACGAACGACAGCGATAACGGGTTAGATTCAGTTTTGCTGCGGGAACTTAACAGCGTTCTTCAGCAGGTGGCTTTTGGCAGTCATAAGGTTAAGGCCCGTTTCCACGGCACCGTTTGCTTACGTTTTGTTTCGCCATGACTTTAAAAGTGCCCCAACTACACAAGGACAATAAGAAAAGGTACGAAACCAGGGCACCCTTGGAACTAACATTTGTTGAAAACTTATCTCCTTTATACTCGTGGTAAAATAAGCCACACCTGCATTTAATGTGACCCACTTTCAAAAAAAGCAAAAAAAAAAAAAAAAACGTATTTTTGGTTTATAATTTCGGAGGTGTGTCGCTAATACAGTCTGACTTTTTATTTTATTTAATCTGCCTCGTGTAGCTCCCTAGATGACTGCGCCAAATGCATGGAAATAATTGTGATGAGCTTAAAGACACAGGCCTTACTTTTGCCCTTAAATGTTTCCAAAAAACTTATTACTTTCGAATAAGATGACAAGTTCTGATATATTGGAATCTGGTCAGGACTGCTGGCGCTTCATTTGAATGGAGATTGAGAGTCTGGCAGCACATAGTTGATTTTTGCGGAGAAAAAAAAAAAAAAACGCTGAATATGTTTAAGGGACACGCTGTGTCATTGGACAGGTTTCGTAGGTCAATTCTGCAACATGTACCATTTCGTGAAGGTATTTGTATGCTCCAGTTGTGTCACATATTCATGCAGATATAGCTGACGAAGTCAAAGTTTCTCATCGTGTGGATGCCGCATCTTTTGTGCAAGGAACTTTGCTGGTTGCCTGCAATATGAGTATTTACCAAGCGGAAAGTGTACCTTAAAATTCATAAAGATTCGAAGAAAAATTAGATATACATTATTGTGTCCTGATGGTATTCAACCATTTCAGTGAACACGTTGGGGAAGAAAGTCAAGTGTTTATTGTCTCAAAATTCGTAAAATATTTTTCAAAAATGAATAGTACCAGCTAGCTTTATAGGGGGATCTATTTTCAAATCTTTTTTTGGAAAATAAATTGTGAACAAAAAATGTCATAATTGATGAAGAAAACCTCCTGCCTCAATACTAAAATCTACATATGTGAATAAGTAGTGATAAAAAAAAATCAATGTACTCTGTTCTCACCATTATTAGTGGTATCATAGTTTCATGCATACTTAGAAAGTCGGGCTGTACGGCGACGGAGCCGTATAGTGCCCGATCGCAGATTTTGAGCGCGAGGATCTGGTAGCACAGAGCATCAAAGATTTATTTCCCGAGGAACCTGGTCGTCAGCGCACAGCTATTGCAACGGCGAGGACCCGAAACACATTTGTTCGCTCGGGAGAGGTGTGTTTCGGCGTCTCGCCACAGCGGGGCGCCAGTCACCTGGCTCTCCTCTCATCCGTTGTCTGCCGCTTCACCTTTTTCGTTTCGGCGGCAGCTTCTCATGGCGATCTGCCAGGCTTTGTCAAATATAAAACGCTACGGTGGTATCCTCCTTTCCACTCTCCTCGTCTCCAGCGTTCGCTACTCTCAAGCGGAAAGAGTGGAAGGCTTTGTGGGAGGTGCTTATCTTGCAAACTATAGTGCTAAACAATCCCGCAAGAAATGTAATGTTAAAATGTGAGATGAGTTTAGTCGCAGGAAAACTTATAACATCTTGAATAATGCCTCTTTAGTTAGTACTTCCTACTCGGACAAACTTATACAGTATTTGTTTATTTATTCAGTACACCTTTAAATATTGCAAATATATTCCTCTGGATTCGTCTGTTCGATCCTCTGCCAATCTAAATACAGTGAATCCCCCGATGTCAAAAACCAACCAAGTCAAACATCTCCTGAAGTTGGTCAGGCTCCGCGAGTACCGACGTAGCAAATGCCCTGCGACCAACATATCTCAAAACTCAAACACCGCTTTAAGTTAGACACTCCGAGTGCATACCATAAGTTGCACTACTAATTTCATTGTTCAGAAAGCTCAGAAATCAGCGGAAATAATTTTCTGGCATAAAACTCTGCCTTTCTGGTTGAATTGATTAATGTTTTATGGTAAAGTTTTAAGTAATGTGATTTGATTTAACCGTTTTGAAGCACCCTTCATAGCGAACAATTTTTTTAAGCCTAGGCAAAAACAAAACATTTGTAGCACAAGTTAATGTTTCATTCTATTTCGTTGCACTGCATATAATATGAGATTAGAGGGACCATAAAATGATTTTCCAGCCTTTTCCTATTGGAGACACCAATTAATCTTCAATGACCTGGAGCAGGAATCCGTATTCGTTCTTTCTCAGGTCTGCTTTCTCCAGGACTCAACTGAACTCGGCCACCAACATGTAAAATCACGTGGCCGTGACGCAAGGTACGCCTTTCTACCGGAAACGGAAGTTCTCCCAGCCGAGAGAGGGAGCCGCGCTGGATACGAGCTCTGCGTCGCACGGACGTATGGGCTGGTCAACAGTCAATCCGTCGACTAATGTTTGAATTGGCGTTCGTGGCCGATGGTGCCGTGATGGCACCCATCATCGCTTGCGAAGGACAAGTTTCATGTCGTGCATAAGAAGGACGGTGCAAGCTTGGAGTCATCGTACCGGTGCCCAAGCACTTCTCGACCACGTGATTTCTCCTTTCGCTTTTGAGTTGTCGAGGAAAGCTAAGGAGGAAGAAGTTGAAAAATCACTCCGTCGTCCCTTTGACTATTGCCCTATTCAACTAAAATGCAATGCATTCCTCTATTTTCTACTCGTCTGAAACAACTCATGAGCTTTTATTGCAGGGCAGAGAGTTTATTTCCCCCTACTGTCAACTAGCTGTTAAATAATGCTTGAAAGCACTAGACATATCAGCACGAATGTTGTAACAAGCACCATTTTACTCGCGACGTTTCATTTTTAATGCGAAAGCATCAACTGCCCCATGGAGCGAGCTGACGTCATTAGTTTGAAGAGCGAAAACGACACCTAGTTTCCCTGATCCGAAAGGAGCGAAGTAAAGCTGATGTATTTTGCCTTCAATTCCATTGGCTGGCGCACGTCGACGGGGCTCCCATTGGCCGCTGCGCTCGTGAGTTTCCACGACCGCTCACCGCATGGCGCTGCGTGTCCATCAGCGCGCCGTTAACACGGAGCGTCCAAGGTCAGCGTGCCCAGGGGAGCACACGCGCTGACCGCCGACGAAAAGCACGCAGCAAAAAACGAGCGGACGAGCGGTTTGCATGCAGTTCGCATTCACAACTCCTAAGAAGTGCTTAAGTGTACCACGAAATTTTTTTTCTTCTGTTTCACTCTAGAGCGCGTGAAAGAGCGTCTTCAGGCGCGAGCTCTTGGTATTGGCAGTCGTACGGCCTTTCGTTTTTAAGTTTTCTTGCTCATAATAATCCAAGTGACAGCTTTTTTAATCCGATCGAGCGATGCTGAATTCAATTAACTGTACTCTTATTTAATCCCAGTGGTCATCAATTTAATCCAAGCGCTAATACATTTAATTCAAGTTATGTCCAATTGAATCCCAACGTCACCATTTTCATCGAATAGCGACCCGATTTAATGAATTTTATCTGTGACTTAACGATGACCGATGCTCCTCCGTCAGAACTGTTTTACTGGTTTGAGGTGCTTGCAAACCGTGAATGCAATTTAAATGTTCGAGGAAAAATCAGAGAGTCTTTGTCCCTATTTTTGTTTTAGCAAAATTGCGGCTGTGAATGCGATGTCAACATATCCATTCGCAGCGGTGGACCTTAAGATTCCTGGACCGGCCCGACCTTATCTGCCGGTAGCACCGCGGCGCGGCGTTATTGTCAGTTGTTCAAAATGGCGGCTGTGCTTCCGACGTCCACGGTGCTTGAGCGACAAAGTGGGATTCGTTCTCTATGAAGCAAGGGACGATCACCCATCGATATCCACAGGAAAATGCAGCCTACGTATGGGGAAAGGTGTCTCGCTTTGAGAGGTCTGAGGTGGTGGTGCTGTGAGTTCGCAAAAGGCCGTGAAGACTTGGAAGACAATGAGCGTTCGCGAGGACCGCGTTCCTCTCTGACTAGCGACTTTTCCCGCGTGGATGCAATGGTTAAAGTGGATCGGCGTGTGCTCATCAGGGACATTTCCCGGGAGCTTGGTATTTCGTATGGGAGTGTTTACGACATCGTTCACGGGTCGTTAGGCTACCCGAAGGTTTCATGTCGGTGGGTGCCTAAGCAGTTGGATTACATGATGAAAGGCAAGCGAATGATTGCTCTACTTAATCATTTTCGACGGTATGCCGAGGAGGGTGAGTGTTTCCTGGACCAAATTGTTACTGGCGATGAAAAGAGGATACCGCATTTCACGCCGGAATCGAAGCAGCAGAGCATGTGTGGAAACATCCGGGTTTGCCTGTGACAAAAAAATTTCGATCAGTGCCATCTGTTGGGAAAGTGATGGTAACGGTCTTCTGGGATCAAAGTAGACCGCTCTTGCTGGATTTCATGCCACAAGGTGCTACCATCAATGCCGACAGTTATTTACGACAAAGCGAGGACTCATGTGACAGTCAGAACCGCCGTCAAGCTCCGATCATTTCACTGTGAGACTCTGGACCACCCGGACCTTGGGATTTTTACGTTTTCGGTCGGGTGAAGAAGTTCCTGGCAGGACAGTGATTCACATGCAGCGATGAAGCCAAGACAGCAGTCCGACGGTGGTTCCACAGTCAGCCGGACGAATTTTACCACAGGGGCATATCAAATTTTGTGCTGGGATGGGAACAATGTCTGAAACGGTGTGGAGACTACGTGGAAAAATAGTATAAGGTACGGAGAATAGTACGTATATTTGTAATTACCTGTATGTACTTTATTTTGGCTAATAAAAAAAAAGCGGCAAAGACTTTCTGATTCGCCCTCATATTTGCGCGTTTCAAGTGTATATTCCAAAACCATGCATTGCCGGTATGCTTGAGCCGTTCCCCGGTTTCATGATCGGGCGTTGACGTCTTTTGCGCCGTCAGCAGTTTCATCAACGGGCGTTAATTGCTTCTTTATATTTGTAAAAAAAAAAGAAGAAAAAAAGAATAGCGGTGTGTTTGTTTTGTGGCGTGGTTGCAGACGTCGCATGTCGACTAAGCGATCTTTCGATGAAACTTCGTTCGACGGTTTGATTGCCACCGGAGTTTTCGTACCTTTGGTACACGCAAACAACGAGGAAATACATCCGGTGACTGTACATTGAGCCGTGGCACAGAGTGAGGGTAACTTGAGGTCGTTAGTCACCGGGCTGTTTCTTTGGTTGAAGCCACTTGGTAGGCCGAGAAGGGGTTCGGGCGTCTCTGAGGTGACCGTAGATCATGCCGAATTACCCTCGGGAGTGCTGTCGCCGGGATAAAAACGCAAGAAGCTTCACCCCCCCCCCCCTCCCCCCCTCCTCCTTCCAAATCCAGCCGATTGCCGATTGCCTGTGGCTTTAAAGTTTTTGCAACACCCCCGGCGAGCACAATATAATATTTTAGCTCACGTTTTGTTTGCGTGCCATTATGCTTCTCTAAGTTGCTGACGGCATAGAGTTGTTATAATGTACGCTAGATGTCCAACTGGACCTCTAGCGTACATTATAACAACTAACATTATAACATTATAACAAAAGCATTTCTATGGAGACAAGTGAGTGTATATTCACCGCGCGCTTGGTTATAAGATAATACCTCGAATATTTCGTCCGTACTATATAGCTTGAAACATTTCCCAGTCGCTTAGACGAAAATAGTGGTCAGTTACGGCTTTTCTTTTTTTCTTCAAATTTATGGCATTTCTATGGAGACAAGTGAGTGCATATTCACCCCGCGCTTGGTTATAAGACCAAATACCTCGAATATTTCGTCCGTACTATATAGCTTGAAACATTTCCCATTCGCTTAGACGAAAATAGTGGTCAGTTACGGCTTTTCTTTTTTTCTTCAAATTTATGGCATTTGAAACTGTGCTATAATGGCTTCTTATGCCAAAGCAACAAAACGCAGCCTTAATAGCAAGAGAGACGTCAAAAACTACGCGCTAACACAGGATCAGTACTGAGCTGTTCATGTAGATGATCAAAATAAAGCCAAGTAATGAGCGCGATTTGCAATAAATAACATTCCATGTATTCACTCTGCTTGTCATGTGAGGGTACAAAGGTAAGTTTGTTATAGCGTTCAAAACTATCATATGCGTTACTCGAAAACGTTTAAAATGGGGAAAGGCCATAAAACACTTATCGCTCGATAAATGCAGCACACCATTAAAAAGATAAACACCTCTTATAGTGCGCGTATTTTCACTTTTTTGCGCTTTACAAGCGCTCGTAGACGGAGTAAACTTAGTGGCAAATAAATCTCGAAAATAATCTATAATGGCGTTTTCGGGATGTTGGCGCTCCTTGAACAAGTCCTACGTTTTTTTCGACTGTTATTCTCGCTTAGATACATTTCTCGCAGGCTTATATAGCCTGCGAGAAGTGGACATGGCCGGGGTAGGTGGTGTGGCTTAAATCAGAAAGGGGTGTCGCCCATAATCACTCCCAAGGGTGTGCCACTGGCAGATTCACCCGAACCTGCGAGGGACACCCCCTCTTAGAGAAATGCGGCCTCGCCTCTCATCCGGGAGAGGCTGCAGCCATAGCGGTCCCCACGGTCTGCATGTGCTTGGCCTAAATAAAAAGGCGGGGAACATGTGTTCCCACAAGATGAACATCACTACGCACTGTAACACCTGAGATATCTCAAACTGTAATAGCGTGTGTGACAAAATCAACGGCACCCTCCGCCAAAAATCTACATTGATCCTTCTAAGAATAAATTATGGGCCTCCCCCCCCCCCCCCCCCCACACACACACACACACTTCCCAAACCCACCATAGCTCTTCTTCAGGGCTCCACGCAGCTGACTCGGACACTACAGGATTTGTACACCCCGACAACACCTGCGTCAAACTGCCACCCCCATACAGACACCGATAATTCCGATTTGAACCGCACCCTCACCTTAGGAGAACTGGAATGAGCGTGAACACAAAACCAAAAGAAATCAGCTTCCGGAGAAGATGGCGTCCCGTATACACGTTTGCAAGTGGCTCTCCGGCTTAACCTCGGACCGCGCGCGCCTTGTTGAAGCGAACTCACTCTCCAACCAGCCGTTCTCTGCATCTCCTACAATGTTGCCAGGTGAAATAACGTCCCCCGCTAGTCGTGCTCATATCAGACCGAGCGTGCACGGCAGGCACGGCCGGTTTGCCATTACTAGCCGGGACATCACATTCACCTGGCAACATTGTAAGTCTCACGGTGTTGGCGTTGTTGGGTCGTGGTTTTGGTTCGTGTCTCGGCTTTCTTGCCGCTTTCCGAGTTCGCGCATGGAAAGAAATAAGCGTTCTCAGTCCTCCGGAAAGCATTGTGCGGTGTTCGGCTGTATAAACAACAGCCGCAAGCGAACCCTCGAGCGAACGTCAACGGCTAACGGGGTGGAACTCAAGTTTCACCGCTTTCCTGTGGACACGGATGAGAAGAGAAAGTGGCTCTCCGCGGTGAATCGGGCGAATTTCACGCCAACAGCGAATTCGCGTGTAAGTTGAGCGTTCCTGTTGCCTTGGCGACATCTGACATGTTCCCAACTGCACAGGTGTGTTCGGCACACTTCGTAGGCGGCAGGAAGACGGACGAAAATAGCGTCCCGCAGTTAGACCTGGGGTATGCGAGAAAGGTAAATATTCGCACCATCGCGATAGAATATCATTTGATTCACGGCAAGCTAATGGCTTGGGTCTGACAGGTCGTCTTTGGGAGGCGCCGTTTGGCGCGTGGTGCCAGTGACCAGGTGCCGACTACCAAGGTGGGTATATTTACAAAGAAACACGCAGATTTCCTTGATTTTCTGTGACATTCTTAATCGAACTCACTCTGGTGGTCTCTGTTACAGAAGAAAAAGTTGCCCTCCAAAGCCACTAACTCTGCTTCCGTGAGTTGGTTTCGCGCAAACAAAAAATTCTGTTTTGGTCTGCAATGGCATTGCACTTGTACACTGAATAAGCTACGTGACTTGGTTTGCTGTTTCCAGCACTGTTTTATTGGCTCAGTCCTTGAATTTATTTCAGGCCGTACACTCCGTGCAGTCCACTAACAACACAGACTTGGGTGCCGCGTTGCGGCAGCCTGTGTCCGAGCACATGGTAAGTTTGTAGAGAACGAGGGGTGCTGTGACAAGCTTTGTGACCTGACCTGATCTTTTGGGCATTGGTTTATTGGCTCAGTCTTTGAATTTATTTCAGAGTACACACTCCGTGCAGTCCACCGACGACACAGACTTGCGTGCCACGTCGTGGCAGCCTGCGTTTGTGCATGTGGTAAGTTTGTTGAGAATGCAGGTGTTTTGCGACCTGTGTGACTGGGTCTGATGTTTCGAGCATTATCTCAGTCATTGAATTTATTTCAGACCATACAGTCCACTGACGACACAGATTTGGGTGCCGCGTCGTGGCAGCCTGCGTCTGAGCATGTGGTAAGTTCGTTGAGAATGGGGGTGCTTTGGGCGACCTGTGTGACTGGGTTTGATATTTCGAGCATTGTCTCAGTCTTTGAATTTATTTCAGACCATACAGTCCACTGACGACACAGATTTGTGTGCCGTGTCGTGGCAGCCTGCGTCTGAGCATGTGGTAAGTTAGTTGCGAATGGGGGTGCCTTGGCGACCTGTGTTACTGGGTCTGATGTTTCGAGCATTGTCTCAGCCGTTGAATTTATTTCAGACCATACAGTCCACGGACGACACTGACTTGGGTGCCACGTCGTGGCAGCCTGCGTCTGAGCATGTGGTAAGTTAGTTGAGAATGAGGGTGCTTTGGCTACCTGTGTGACTGGGTCTGATGTTTTGAGCATTGTCTCAGCCGTTGAATTTATTTCAGACCACGCAGCCCACTGACGACACTGACTTAGGTGCCACGTCGTGGCAGCCTGCGTCTGAGCATGTGGTAAGTTAGTTGAGAAGGAGGGTGCTTTGGCGACCTGTGTGACTGGGTCTGATGTTTTGAGCATTGCCTCTATCGTTGAATTTATTTCAGACCACGCAGCCCACTGACGACACTGACTTGGGTGCCACGTCGTGGCAGCCTGCGTCTGAGCATGTGGTAAGTTAGTTGAGAAGGAGGGTGCTTTGGCGACTTGTGTGACTGGGTCTGATGTTTTGAGCATTGCCTCTATCGTTGAATTTATTTCAGACCACGCAGCCCACTGACGACACTGACTTGGGTGCCACGTCGTGGCAGCCTGCGTCTGAGCATGTGGTAAGTTAGTTGAGAATGAGGGTGCTTTGGCGACTTGTGTGACTGGGTCTGATGTTTTGAGCATTGCCTCTATCGTTGAATTTATTTCAGACCACGCAGCCCACTGACGACACTGACTTGGGTGCCACGTCGTGGCAGCCTGCGTCTGAGCATGTGGTAAGTTAGTTGAGAATGAGGGTGCTTTGGCGACTTGTGTGACTGGGTCTGATGTTTCGAGCATTGTCTCTATCGTTGAATTTATTTCAGACCACGCAGCCCACTGACGACACTGACTTGGGTGCCACGTCGTGGCAGCCTGCGTCTGAGCATGTGGTAAGTTAGTTGAGAATGAGGGTGCTTTGGCGACCTGTGTGACTGGGTCTGATGTTTCGAGCATTGTCTCTATCGTTGAATTTATTTCAGACCACGCAGCCCACTGACGACACTGACTTGGGTGCCACGTCGTGGCAGCCTGCTTCTGAGCATGTGGTAAGTTAGTTGAGAATGAGGGTGCTTTGGCGACTTGTGTGACTGGGTCTGATGTTTCGAGCATTGTCTCTATCGTTGAATTTATTTCAGACCACGCAGCCCACTGACGACACTGACTTGGGTGCCACGTCGTGGCAGCCTGCGTCTGAGCATGTGGTAAGTTAGTTGAGAATGAGGGTGCTTTGGCGACTTGTGTGACTGGGTCTGATGTTTTGAGCATTGTCTCTATCGTTGAATTTATTTCAGACCACGCAGCCCACTGACGACACTGACTTGGGTGCCACGTCGTGGCAGCCTGCTTCTGAGCATGTGGTAAGTTAGTTGAGAATGAGGGTGCTTTGGCGACTTGTGTGACTGGGTCTGATGTTTCGAGCATTGTCTCTATCGTTGAATTTATTTCAGACCACGCAGCCCACTGACGACACTGACTTGGGTGCCACGTCGTGGCAGCCTGCGTCTGAGCATGTGGTAAGTTAGTTGAGAAGGAGGGTGCTTTGGCGACCTGTGTGACTGGGTCTGATGTTTTGAGCATTGTCTCTATCGTTGAATTTATTTCAGACCACGCAGCCCACTGACGACACTGACTTGGGTGCCACGTCGTGGCAGCCTGCGTCTGAGCATGTGGTAAGTTAGTTGAGAATGAGGGTGCTTTGGCGACCTGTGTGACTGGGTCTGATGTTTCGAGCATTGTCTCTATCGTTGAATTTATTTCAGACCACGCAGCCCACTGACGACACTGACTTGGGTGCCACGTCGTGGCAGCCTGCTTCTGAGCATGTGGTAAGTTAGTTGAGAATGAGGGTGCTTTGGCGACCTGTGTGACTGGGTCTGATGTTTCGAGCATTGTCTCTATCGTTGAATTTATTTCAGACCACGCAGCCCACTGACGACACTGACTTGGGTGCCACGTCGTGGCAGCCTGCGTCTGAGCATGTGGTAAGTTAGTTGAGAATGAGGGGTGCTGTGACAAGCCGTATGACTTGGTCTGATGTTTGAAGCATTGTTTCATTGGCTCGGTCTTTGAACAACCGCAAACATCAGTTTTGGTCTGCGTGCAGTTGTGCAGCGAATAATATCACATTTGTTCCAGAGCACAAATGTGGCACTCATGGGCACTATTACTCTTTCGCACAACGACCTCCTTCTCCTGAGCACACAGTAAGTTCTAATGAAGGTGTTTAGACAGGCAGTATAAACTGGTCATGAAAATGCACGTGATGTTTCTAGCACAATTACATTACCCAGTCTTGAAACAGTCCGAGTGTTTTTTTTTTTTCAGACTATGTTTTCCATGCATGACATCGAGTTAGGCACCATGCCGTGGCTGCCCGTGTCCGAACACGTGGTAAGTTGTGCTGTGACAAGTGTGTGACAAGCTGTGTGACTTGTCACACACTTGAATCACAAGTGTGTGACATGCTGTGACAAGCTGTGTGACTTGACCTGATGTTTCGAGCACTGTTTCACTGGCTCAGTCTTTGTATTGATTTCAGACCGCACACCCCACACAGTTCACTGACGACACAGACTTGGGTGCCACAACGTGGCTGCCTGCGTTTGAGCATGTGGCAAGTTTGTTGAGAATGGGGCTGCTTTAGGGGGGGGGGCGACCTGTGTGACTGGGTCTGATCTTTCGATCATTGTCTCTATCGTTGAATTTATTTCAGACCACGCAGCCCACTGATGACACAGACTTGGGTGCCGTGTCGTGGCAGCCTGTGTCTAAGCACATGGAAAGCTTTTTGAGAATGAGGGGTGCTGTGGCGAGCCGTATGACTTGGTCTGATGTTTGAAGCATTGCTTCATTGGCTCGGTCTTTAAAACACCACAAACATCAGTTTTGGTCTGCGTGCGGTTGTGCAGCGAATAATATCACATTTGTTCCAGAGCACAAATGTGGCACTCATGGGGCACAATTACTCTTTGGCACAACGACCTCCTTCTCCTGAGCACACAGTAAGTTCTAATAAAGGTGTTTAGAGAGGCAGTATAAATTGGTCATGAAAATGCATGTGCTGTTTCGAGCACATTACATTTACCCAGTCTTAAAACAATGATTTCTTTTTTTTTCAGACTATGTTTTCTATGCTGGCTGCTGATGACGCGGAGTTAGGCGCCACGCCGTGGCTGCCCATGTCCGAGCACGTGGTAAGTTAGTTGAGAATGAGGAACGCTGTGACAAGCTGTGTGACTTGGCCTGATGTTTCGCTCTGTTTCATTGGCTCAGTCTTTGTATTGAATTCAGACCACACACTCCACGCAGTCCACAGACGACACAGACTTGAAGGCCACAACGTGGCTGCCTGCGTCTGAGCATGTGGTAAGTTCGTTGAGAATGGTGTTGCTTTGACGACTTTTGTGACTGGACCTGATGTTTTGAGCATTGTTTCATTGTCTCAGCCGTTAAATTGATTTCTGACCACACACTTTACGCAGTCCACTGACGACACAGACTTGCTTGCTGCGTCGTGGCTTCCTGCATCCGAACATGTGGTAAGTGTCAGAATTGAGGGGCACTATGACGATCTGCATGACTTTGCCTGATGTTTAGAGCACTGTTCCATTGGCTTAGTCTTTGAATTTATTTGAAACCACACACTCCATGCAGACCACTGACGACACGGAGTTGGGCGTCTCATCATTGCAACCTGTGTCCAATCGCATGGTAAGTTTCTTTAGAATGAAGGGTGCTGTGGCCGGCTGTATGAAAAGGTGTTTGCCTTGCTTTCAACATATAGTGTCCATACATGTTAGTGGCTACAATGACCCTGCTTTAACATCACGGTTAATCGTTCCTGTGCTTATGGTAAGGTTTTTTGCAAACTACCGCTATCTCAGTATTTCGAAATTGAAGTGAACTTGCAGCCAACCAGGGGTGACTAGGTGGTGCAAATGCTCGTACACAGATGTCACTGCGCTCCTGCAAAACATTTCATCCTTTGCAGGGGTGGTGGAGTGCTGTAATCTTCTGACCCCTGCCCTTTCTTTTAAACAGTACTCTATTTCATTTTGCTGTAGGAGTGGTTAACTCTCAGGTTAATATATTGTAAATGTTTCTTACAGGACAGTGAGCGACGTCGCATGGCTCCAGATGTGTGCCACCAGGGCGTCCAGTGGGAGGACCCATGCCTCAGCGACCATCTGTACACAACATTCGCTGCTCCATCTGTGCCCACTGTTCCTCATGGGACTTATAGCCTGGAGGAGCGGGACATTTTGTTTTACACCGGTGCGCGAGCCGACGTGTTTATGGAGCTCGTAAAGGTTGTGCCCCAGTTTGCGTCGAGCAACTTTAGAATGCCAGTTGAGCAGCAGCTGTTGCTCACGCTCATGAAGCTGCGGCTTGGCCTTGTGTATGGCGACCTCTCCAGAAGGTTCGGTGTTTCTATCTCCATTGCAGGGAACATTTTCCGTGCAATGCTTGCAACACCCAGCCGAATTCTAAGGAGTGTTGTCGTGTGGCTTGCCCGGGATACAATTGCAAGGAATGCTCCAAAGTCCTTTGAGGAGAATGGTTTTGCAGGCACTACTTGCATCTTGGATTGCACTGAAGTGTTCTTGCAGCGACCAAAAAAATTGCTCGCGCGAGCACAGACATATAGCGCATACAAAGGCCACAATACAGTGAAGTTTTTGGTTGATATTGCTCCCCACGGAACAGTGATGTTCGTGTCTAAGGTCTATAGTAGGCGAGCGTCTGACAAGCACATTGTGAGGGACTCCGGGATTATTTCCCTCTTTAGACGTGGGGACGAGGTCATGGCTGACCGAGGTTTCTCTCTCGATCCCGAGATGGAAGCCAAGGGAGTCACGCACAATGTGCCTGCGTTCACTCGAGGTAAACTCCAGTTGAGCGAGAAGGAAGTTACTAAAACAAGAAGGATTGCGTCGGTTCGAATCCATGTTGAACGCGCAATCAATCGCATTAAGACTTACAGAATTTTGAAGCAGGCTCTTCCAATCCAACATCGTAAGATAGCAGATCAAATTGTCTTTGTATGTACAGGGCTCTGCAACCTGAAGGGACCTTTGATTAAGCCTTAAGATTGTCTCAGTCTGAGCAAACGCCTAGCCGGTGCCAAACTTGTATGTAGAGTCATGCAGATACTAAAAGGCTCCTCACAAGTGGGTGTTTTTCTTTTTTTTGAGTGCTTGACTGGTGGCTTATGTTCGAGCTAGGACTGACCTCATTACTTGTTCATTTAAAGCAGACAGGGGGGAGCCCACCAACACAGACTATCGTTATTTTCCGTGTCTGTCACTGTGATCCGAGTGAAAAGAGGGAGAGAATTCAGGAAAACAGTCGAGCGTAATATAAAATAAACCAAAATAAATTATGAGTTTCTTTCAGTGCTTTGATCCTATTTTGTTTTATTGCTATCTATTCCTTTTTTGTAAGTGCCTACTGTTCACGACAATGCAACATGATAACGGCCGTTTGTTTGCATTGATGAGCACCCCTCTGTCTGCTTCACGTGGACAAGTCCTGACGTCGGCACTAGTTCCAACAAAAGCTACCAATCAAGCACACATCAGAAAAAGAATGCCTGCTGGTGTGGAGTTAATTAGTATCTGCGTGCCTACCTTATTCATCTTAAGTTACTTTGTGGGGACCCTCTCCCTGGCTCCTCCGCGCTCCGTGACCTCGCCGGTCCCTGCCACCGTGCTGCCCGGCGCTCCTTCGTTCCCCGTGACCTTCCCGTTTTCCGTCGCCGTCCTGTCGCGGAACGTCCGAGCTCTCCGGGAGTAATGGGGCAAGCGCCCCCTCACCCAGCGCTGACGTCGGAGGGTCGGTCGCAGCAAGGTTCCCGATTGGACGGTCGGCGGGACAAGGACTTGGAAAGGTCTTAAAAGGGGAACGGAGACAAAGGAAGGGGTCTTGGGCTGCCGACTTCGAAAGGGACCGGTCAGGGAGGTCATTGGGACGACAGCGACGAGCGGCTCGCAGACGACGTGAGTTTGAGTAAACTCTTTTGAACACGCACTGTGTGGGTGACTTCTTGGGGAGCGAGCGAGGCACGTCCCGATCGGGCGTCGATCAGGTAGCGACCCACAACTTGTAAACTAAAGAGTATCATACAATTAATTTGAAAGCAATTTTAACATACCAAGTCCCTTGCAATCACTTCCAAATGTCACTATTTTGTACTCTTCATTCTTGCAAGTAAGTTGTACTTTTTTTTTTACTTGTCAATTACTTGGACCTTATTTTTTCAGAGTTTTGACTTATGTCATTGTTTCTCTTTGCTTCTTTGAGGTTGCATAGAAGGAACATTCTGGAAGCCTCAAGGTGGCAGCTGTCGTTTTGCTAAGGTAGCTGAGAGATTTTCAGGGGTCTCGTTTTCAAACACTATGCACCAGATTTGGCTAAAATTGTGCTTGTGTACCTATGCTCTTGTCATCCTTTTCACACTTTTTAGATGTGCTTAAAGGGGCGGTGCAACGATATTCAGTTGGACTGCTTTTCACTTTACACGAGCTTACTGGCACTACTGGGACTCAAGGATACTCGCACGCAACGCCACTGACCAAGAAACTCCTTTGTTGCACTGTAATTTCGAGGACAAAACTGAGTGTTTTCATTCAATCTCTCCATCGCGAAACCTGATGACGTAGCTGGGCAGTACCTCTACCGCCCAGTGGCGATATTTGAACGCGGCTCATTGATTGGACCCGAGCATGGCGTGGACACTCCATTTGGGCTCGTGATAATCGACAGCTCGAGAAGCATTCGGGTGGTGTCTTGTGTCCAATTGCTGCAATGACGACAACAGCCGAACCATAAAAATGTCTGTAACTCAGCGCGTGTCCTGTGCCTTGCCAACCCCAGCGCGTGGCTATGATCAACATTGGCGGCATATTGTCACGAATTAAGGCGACGAGAAAGAAAAGTGTAAACTGAAAATAAAGGTTTAATGGGCGAACTTGTGCCAAACAAAACGAATTAACGGAAGAGCGTCGAGGCAGCAGAAAAGCGGGCGGCGATTCGGCGGCACTACAGAGCGCTAGCGAGACTGAGACTGACTCGACAAGATCGCGGGCAGCTGCTTATCTACCGTGCGTCACTATCTCGAAAGTTCGGCAAGGAAGGTTCGAGCGTCGCGCGCTCGGGGCGAGGATGAACTGGCACTTTCGAGAATAACAAAGCAGAGGGAAAGTTACGTCTGCTGCGAGAATGACCGGGAATCTTCTAGAAGACCGTGACCAAGCGTTGCCTTCTCGGCTCTGCGGGTGGCATTATCCCCCCTTTAAAAGTGCATCGCCCCGATGCAAAACGAAAGGAAAACGGAAATGGCTAATACAATTACGGCGAAACAAAACAAACATGCAGTTTCACAATCCTAACGCGCGTAGAACGGCTTGAGTCGAACTACGTGGACGACTTCGGGTCGTGGCTGGCGGCGTCCTGATGGGCGAGTTCCGTCGGGGAGCACCTCGTAGTTCAAGTCCCCAAGGCGGCGGATGACCTTGTAGGGTCCGAAGTAGCGTTTTAACAGTTTCTCGCTGAGGCCGCGGCGGCGAATGGCGTCCACACCCATACCCTGTCTCCGGGCTGGAACTCC